TGGGCCAGGCCTGTGGTGACACGTGCCTCAGGTGTGGAGGGAAAGGCCAGCCCCCTTTCTTTACCAACATTATAATGGAGCTTGCCAGACTTGGAGATAGAATCGGGAAGTGGATGGGAGCTGGGGAGACACCCCCGGGTAGGCCCAAGGTACAGGGCACCAGATAAACACATGACAAGGTGAGAACTGGGAGGAAAAACACAAAAGTAAGATATCAAGGAAAAACTAAGGGTGTTGCAAGAGATCAGGTCTGAAAAGGCCTGCTCAGGGAAGCTGAGACTGAAGATGGGGGCTGCACACAGAGGCTGGCAACAGAAGGTGAACCAAGCCCTCAGAGTTTATAAACACTGACATCTGCCCAGAAGGGTACTGAAGGGACGGACAGTCCACCTGCTGACTTCAGGAAATCCCCTGTCTCTGTACAGTGAGAGACCCGAGCCCATCCCCACAGGAGAAAACTGGTCATAGAATTAGAGGCTGGAGCAGGTAGTGCTTGAGGTCACTAGATGCTGGCAACTGGAACCCGGGGCCACATCAACTCCTCCAATTGTAAGCTGAAAAATCCTGCCCACTCTTCCAATGGCAGTGGCAGAGGAGGCAGATAACCAGGGAACTAAGTCTTCCCTTCCCTGGAGATAGGGGTCCCAAGGAGGCAAGTGACGATTTGGGACTGGCTAAGAGTTGTGACGCCCACTGCCAGATCAGAAAGCAGCTTGTAAAATGAGTCAGGACGTAGCTGAGCTGAGTGGGGAGAACGGCACCCACCAGGGACTGGGGAGTGAGAGACAGTGAACCCCAGGAGGAATCCACCCCAGTTCTTCTCCGAATAGTGAAGAGCAGAGGAAGGACAGTGCCTGGAGGAGCCAGGAGCCCTGGGAAGAAGCTTCTGGGGCCAAGGAGAATGCAGTGGGACTGGGACAGATGGAGCAGGGACTGGAGTGAAACTGGCCTGGTGAGCACACCTTGGTGAAACACGGAACTACTGCTTGCCCGAGGCTTGCCAGGCACTAGTTACTCTTTGAACATTTGAACTCATTTCACTCTCTCACCAATTCTTTCTCTTTTTTTCCACTGCAAAAGTGAAGAAAGAAGCAAACAAAAAGCCTGCAGACTGAGCTGCTCATGTCAGTCATTAGTAGCCAAAGTAACAAACGCCAGGCAGGCATGAAATTCACTGCCGGCTGCAGTGTGCCCTTTCCACCTGAATGGCGCTCCTGCCCCCTCTAGACCGGAACGCTGCAGTTCAGGGCCTCCGCTGGCTTTCTTCTAGCACTTGGTGCTTCATCTGTAGGTCCAGCTAGAAGGACCTGGAACCCCAAAGATCCAGATCTAAAATACCACGCCTTGGGGGAATGGATGGTGGGAGGCAAAAAGAAGGGTTTGGGCCGTGAATCTCCTGAGGGGGGTCCACCTCAACCCAGGCTATGGGATGGATGTCTCAGCAGGCAGGAGGAGTTAGGGCGCACCCTCAGCTATGGAGGTGCTGGAAACAGCTGCCAAATCAGAGTATGAAGATGACAGGCAATGCAAAGGAAATCCAGTGAGTCCTGGAGACCTACAAAATCTTTACAAAGCTCCCTCTTAGCCTTCCTTTACATACCCCTCCAGGAAGCCTTCCAAGATTGTCTATGTGCACCTCTGCTGTGCACTGGCTGTGCCTTGTTAGTACTGCTATTCCCGATTTATCTGCTCTGAGAAACAGTTGTTCAAAGACTGCTCTTGTAGCCAGGGCTGGAGCTGGCATGCAGTGCCAGAGGGGCTTGGAGGAGGGGATGCTGCTGAGTGACAGGCCTCCCACACTCCCAGGACCTCTGACACAGCACCAAGGTTCTCAGGCACCTGTTGATGAGAAGCTGTGTGAAGGAACAGCTAACTAGCTAAAGGTGAGGAGGTTCGGAAAGAGGGAACTGCCTCCTTCTCCATCTGTGAGAGGAGAAGGAGGGAGGAGGAGGGGAGACAGGAGACAGGGCCCTGGCAACTCAGAGTTTGGGACCAGTCTAGGCAGGCCAGGGAGTCAAGCAGCCCCTCCTCCTGAGAGGCCCAGGCCTGATCCAGGATTATCCCCCAGCTTCGCTGTAGTCTTTTCTCAGGGACACAGTAGGTGCAGTACCAGGATCTGCTGGCAGAGGGCAGTGTGTGCACAGATAAGAGGTACTGGAAGGGTTTGTACCTCCTTGATGGATACTAATGAATGCTCTTGAGGAGACCGACACAATGTTTCACAGCCCACAGTCCAGATCCACCAGGTACCGCTGCCATACTCCTGGGGGCTGAACCAACCAATACACATCGTACAAACACAGAGAGCCCCCACAAACTCAAGTATAATCCTGTAGACAGGATGTGGTGCTGAGAATCTGGAATCGCAGCATTCTGGGAGCAGAGACAGGAGGATCATGGCAAGTCAAAGGCCAGCTACATAGGGTGTTCCAAACTGGACAGTGTCACTCAGCAAAACTCTTTCCAGACGAAGTTACCAACCAGTCAGATCCTGCAATAACACATTGCATATTCAGGTCAGCAAGCAGCAAGACTATATGTCCAGGTCCCATAGTGGGAAAACAAGGCTGAGAAACTCCTGTCGCTTTATAATGCTCTAGCTACCAAAGCACAGGGTAGGACTGAGTGTTCACAGTAAGGCTGCCACACACACATCTACAGTACTGCCACCTGTAAAACGCTGCAGCTCACACACTTATGAGCCACAGCAATGCTTGACAAGATGACAGATGGATGTTTCTGGTTTCTGTGTGGGTACACTGTGTGCTGTTGCACCCCAGAAACAGCTGTGTGCAGCTGTGTCTAGCACAGCTCTTTGTGGGGTCCACTGGCCATGAAACAAGGGTTTAGCTGCACTGTCCAGGTGGGTGTAAGCACACTCTGATGTTTGCACAGTGACGTAATTACCTAGCAACACTTTCTCTAAAAAGTGTCTTCATTACACAATGCACAGCTGAGATCATAACAGCAGTGGGGTGTCCTCTGCGGCGAGATCTCTGCTAAGTATGGCTGTGTAGGAAGTAGGAGCACAGAACCTCACTGGGCTTTGATGTCCACCGGTGCTCCTCCTCGCTATGTGATTCCTGTGAGCTACACTACTTCCCTAGAAAATGCTCCAGTAGGGCTGAAATGAGTTACTGGTATACAGAAAGAAAAAGGCCAGTTAAGGGTAAGCCCATTTTTCAAGGACACGGGTTTGCACTGGACCACAACTGACAATTAAAAGGACCAAAGTTCAAAGGCCTGAGCATGAAGAGCCTGGCCTGCTAAGTGATAGCTGATGGACAAGGGAGGGTGGGGCACACAGGAGAAGACGGGTCATAGGCACCCCGAATGCCACCCTTCAACAAGACAGGCCTGCCCATGAGAACTATGTTCAAATCAGTTGGCTAACCACCCGAGAAACAAGCATTCTTGCAGAAGTACAGGTGCCTATGAAGATCACCCAAACTGCTCATCTTTCTAGGCATTGATGACATGTCACACACTGCCTTGTTGGTACTGGATTTTCCTGTCCCCAGTAGACTGTGAGCCCCGCCGTTCTCTGCTTATGCTATTTGCTTTGATGTCCCCAGTGCCCAGACAATGGCTCACTCAATACTTGTTACGTAAGCCACCACGGTTTTGTGCACACAATGGGAACAGATACATCCAGAAGCTTCCACAAGCACAAGCTAGAATAAAGTGGGGCCACTTTGGGGGAGAAAGGACAACTCTAGACAGAGCAAGAGAAACATCAGGGTGTTAAAGATGCTGAGTGACAAGCCTTGCTAAGGCTCTGGTGGTCCTATGTATCCACGTGGCCGGAGGGGGGTGTATCACACATCTCATACATGACAACATGGGAAACGTTGAGCACTCCCTGCAGCCACAGCAGTGATCAATCTCAACTGTTTAAAGGATCAGTTGCACCTGATGCCCACCTGGCTGGAACCAGATGGCACAGACCATGTGTAGTTGCTTGTCCAGGGTAGAGCAAGAGTCAGATCCCCCCAAAAGTTAGGCCAGTGGTAAGACTGACATTCGGGCAAGACAGAGACACTGAAAACCAAAGGGACATGTTTGTACATGCTTGTTCCCACTTATTTCATACCGAAATTTGATTCCACAGTGGGATCTTTGGGATTTGACTGAGTCTTGGAGACACTGCCCTATGCTTGGACTAATGGCTTTCTTTGGAGACTAGATTAAGTGTCTCTAGAACAGGTTATGAAGTGGGCCTGACATCTCCCCTTGCTTGTCCTTGAACACAGGCTCCCCCTGTACACTCCAACTTCCCCTGACTGCATTTTCACGATGCTGTGACCCAGCACAAGGCCATCACCAGAGAGAAGGCTGGTGCCCAGGGTAGGTATAATCTTTAAGGCCTATGTGACCTACCTCTACCAACCAAGTCCCATCTTCTAAAGACCCCACAGACCTCAAAACAATGCCACAAGCTGGGGACCAGTTACTCACAGCATGAGCTTATGGGTTGGCATTCCCAGTTCAAACCATAACACCCAATCTAAAGTATTCCTGGTCAATCATTTATTGCAAGAGATATAGAAAATTAGACAGAATCCTCATCAAAGGACAAAGAGGGATGGTCCCTTGACAGCAAAGGCTGAAGAAGACACAGAGCAGGGGGCTTGCTGTTGGCTGAAGGGAAATTTCTTGGGTCTGTGCTTCATCTCTACATGTGAGTCAGCCACAGTAAATGGGAGTGGGAGAGAGGCCATGAGAGAGCCCATGACAGGCCCTCCCGCACCAGACAGGGAGAGAGGCCATGAGAGAGCCCATGACAGGCCCTCCCGCACCAGACAGGGAGAGAGACCACTGAGAGAGCCCTTGACTGGCCTTCCCACACCAGACAGTTTCCTGCACTGAAGAAAACAGGGCTGAGGGATGGGTTGGGATTTCAGTGATAGAGAAAACACTTCCCAACTTGGAAAGGGACCCGAGGAAAAAGCAGGAGAAGAATGAGGCCCACAGCCTCGTCACGGCACTCCCCCCGTCTGTCATCTGGAGGCCTTTTTGGTTGCACAGCTGCTGCCTGCGGCTTTGGCTGAGGGATCCTTGAGTTCGCTGCCGCAGCTGCCTTTGGTCTTGACCTCCAGGGCCAGAGGTCTGTAGTTGTAACTGCTCGAGGAGCCGAAGTCCACACTGAAGCCAGCACCTCCTGGTCCCGCATTGGTACTGCTTATGACAGCTGGAAAGGATGACAGGAGACCCTGCCCCGTTAGTCTACACCCTGGTCAGAGCCCTTCGTGACGGAGACACTCTGGCCACTCCCTTGCTTGCTCCCTCTTCCTCTTAGTTTACCAAGGTATCTTTGGAAGCACCAATCATAGCCATTGCTTCACTTTATCTGCACGTAACCCCGAATATCCAATCTTTTTTGCAAGTGGTCTGTATATCAGCAGAAGTATGGGGAGGAGGATGGCCACGCCTTCTGGGCTCAGGGGAAGAGCTGCCAGCAAGCATCACTTGCAGCCCACTTCCAGAACGTTGCTGTTAAGAACTACCAGGCTGCTTTCTTTCCTATTCCAGCATCGTTCTCCAGCCACTGCCTCTCACTGAAGCTAGACACCTCTACCTTTCTATCCTTAACCTCATCCTCATCCCACTCCCTGGATTCCAATCTATCCTTTGTGCCATGGAATCAGAGCTACGTAGGCTCCTGAAAAGGTAACCAAGGACAGACCAAGACATGCAGATACTCACAAAGGCTCACGAAATTTGGGTAGTCACCAGCCATCCTATATAGAGAGAACAGACAGGTAAGCCCACCATAACAATCACCCCATCTACTCACGGGGTCACCTCTGAGATTAAGTCTCTCCCATCAGAGCAAGCCCCAACCCCAGCCCGTTCCTGAGCTGCTTCTGAGGGGCACTCTGCTCTCTGGTGTGACGGTAGGGAGACCGGTCCCATGCCCTCACTGAGGCTCAGGCTTTGCCACAGTGACTTCAAACTTGGATGACCCTGAGAGTTCTTGCCCCGCTCCCATTCGAGAACCATGAAGAGTCAGGGGACACTTTCTAATATTAGTGGCATTGGCACTTGATCTCCCATGGCCTTTTAGGGGTTTTACAAGTCAGTCCTTCTTGCTGTATAATTTGTGTCTCCCCTAGCACAAGGCAAGCACATTTGTTTGTTGTGTGGTTTCACTTCTCTAGGCCCCAAACACAGCCCAGTTGTCTTTGGCTTCCTTTTAAAGCCAAGTTTCTCTGACAAGATGACTGTTGCTCAGAACTGCTCTGCTCACCTGCTCTCCTCGCCCTCCAGCAGCTTGCGGTAGGTGGCGATCTCCATGTCCAGGGCCAACTTGACATTCATGAGCTCATGGTGTTCCCTCATCATCCGGGCCAGCTCCTCCTTGGCCTGCTGCAGGGCACCCTCCAGCTGGTCCAGCTTGGCTCGGGCATCCTTGAGGGCACAGTCACCTCTCTGTTCAGCGTCAGCGATGGCCGTCTCCAGGTTGGAGCACTGAAGAACAGACAGATTGAGCACTTTGGATCAGCCCTCCTCTCCTGACGCTGACTGGTAACAAATGTTTCAGGATCTCGCTGGACGGTCACTGGAGGTTGAATCTATCTTGCTGTGACTCCAGGCACCTCACCCCCTCTACCCCCACCACCCATGCCTCAGCCTCTAAACGTAAGCATCTTTCCCTAAGAGGAGGACATAGAGAAGGTGGGCTCTCTGGGTATGAGCCCCTGGCTCTGCCCACTTGATTTGAAACCATCAGCTGTTAGATTTTAAAGACAGTCTGGATGAAAGTCTCCCCATGGCTACAGTTCAGCAGTGCCCATAAATCCCGAGGAAGAAATGGTATCTCATAAGTTACTCTAGGCAAAGTATCTGCCTACTAAATCTACCACAACTGCAGCCTACCCTGCCCACTCTGCAGAGACTCTTACGAAGGGGTAAGAACAGGCTTCAGAGAGGCATTTGCATGACTGGCAGGCTCTGCAGATGGTGAACACTATGAGTTAGGAATCTTATTGGGGTCAGGGTTGGGTGTTTACATGTGTAAGGGCTCTGGGGGCTTCTTGAGTCTTTTAGTTTGAATGTGTTTTGGTCATTCTGCTAAGGCTTTGGTAGGATCTAAATTTCAGCCTATTCTTTTTGGGGTGCCACCTTCCTATCGAAGTTTGCTTCATTATGAAGAAGAAATAGCAGGTCCTGACTCCAAAAGGACCTAGATTTTTCCTAAGCTGTCACCTCCTCTGATTAGCAGCCCACAGATCTGCTGACACCCACAGAATTTTAATGAGTGGCTCAGCCTGGAGGAGACTCCCAGGACCAAGCGGCCTCACCATGGGAAATCATAGCTCATCCTCAGGACCAGAGAGGCCCAGTCAGGCAGGAGGGTGACATGAATTTGGTCAAACTGCCCTCTGCTCTTTGGCAGGGTAAACTGGGGAATGCCAAAAGCCTGGGTCTTATGAAGGGCTGAGTTGGAAGGACATGAGATCTGCAGATCCTTTCAAACACCACAAACACTGAGAGACTCGGTGGGCATCTTCCTCAGTGGAAGGGAGAGAAGGCAAGATGAGCCCCTTGGCTAGGAGTCTTAGAGGATACAACATGAAATGAATATCACGGGGGTCCCCACAGAGGCATCTTCCGTGACAGCTGAACACAGTGGCAAACGGATCTAAAAAGTGACAGTAGTGAAAACAATCCCACACCCTCACTGGGGCCCAGGCTTCACCACAGTGGCTTTGAACTAAGATGGCTCTGGGAATCTTGCCCAGCTGTGAACATACAGAATTGCAGCAAGTAGATGCCAGGCTCTTACTGAAAGTACCTTTAACATTGCATTTTCACGCATGTCTATCAGTCTGAAATAAAAATCCATAAGTTATTATTTCATCCAGGGATCATAAACAAAATGAACACAGGACTTGTGTGTGTGTGTGCACATGCATGCATGTTCACACTCATGTACAGACTAAAGAAGTGGAGGATGGGGAAAATCTGACCTGCCTGAGAGGCAGGGGCTCTCAAATGCCTGACTGGTTTCCGTACCCACAAATGATGGTTTCAGAATCACAGGCATGGCACCAGTGAAATTTCCATCAAATGCTAGCAGGGAGGAGGACAGTGGGTGCAGTTCCCACCTCAGGACACCATGAGGCAGGCCATAGCTATGCAGAGCTCTGGGCTAAGACCAAGGCAGAAGGTCGCTGCCTCCCTCCCCATTCCATCTAAAGCTGACCACAGGTGACACTTCCTATAGCAATGCTGGAACCTAAGAGTGCCATTCCATCTAAAGCTGACCACAGGTGACACTTCCTATAGCAATGCTGGAACCTAAGAGTGGCATCCATGGCCCACCGCAGCCACCGTCTGGCTTAGAAGTTGACCGCCATCTCCTACCCCTTGGCATCTCTGCTCCAAGCTACCCTTGCCTGTTGCTCCAGGTAGGCAGGCCCCTCCCTATACTAGAGGCAACACTTTTTCCTTGACTTCCCCTCTCCCTCTGCCCTTCATCCTGGAGAACTCTCACGTCCTCATGGAACTTCCTTTGGGGCCTCACCTAACCCTAGTCCAGTGGATCCCATAGCAGCTGCAGCATGCACTATGGGTGTAGAATGCTGTGCCCGCCCACACAGCCCAGTCTGTCCCACCTGATGATGACCCCAAGATTGGTGCTGAGCAAACCCGTGTGCTGCCTCTTGCATGGAACCCACCTGTTTCTTCACGTTCCCTATCTCTGAGTGGATCCTCTGGATCAGCCTGTTGATCTCTGTAATCTCGACCTTGGTGAGTTTGAGGTCATCCCCATGCTGGCCTGCTGTGGCCTGCAGCTCCTGGATCTGAGGCAGGATTAGAAGGGAAGAGTGCAAGGTGGTTAAGGACTTACCAACTTAGGAGCACTCAGCACGAGGTGGGGTGCCCAGCAGAGGGAGTGCTCCTCAGCATGGGGTGGGGTGCTCAGCACAAGGGGAGTGCTCCTCAGCATGGGATGGGGTGCTCAGCACAGACAGAGAGGCATGCTGCTCAGCATTGAGTGGGGTACTCAGCACAGAGGGGAGTGCTCCTCAGCATGGCATGGGGTGCTCAGCACAGAGGGGAGTGCTCCTCAGTATGTAGTAGGGTGCTCAGTGCCTGTAATCTCCTGTTGAGTCAGCATAAGCACCAGCCAAGGAGGGAGAGTGACAGGCAGTGGAAAAGCAGCTACTCTACTCCTTCTACCTAAAGCAAGGTCCTACTCTAGCTTGACGTGGGATTCCCCTCTGTATGCTATGAATATGTTTTATTACCATTGGTTATTAAAGAAGCTGTTTTGGCCAATGGCTTCGTAGAGTAAAGCCAGGCAGGAAATCCGAACAGAGATACAGAGAGAAAGTAGATGGAGTCAGAGAGATGTAGCTGCCGAAGGAGAAAGATGCCAGTTGCCAGCCAGACGTTACCAGTAGATCACAGCCTAGTGGTGATACACATATTAATAGAAATTGGTTAATTTAAGATATAAGTTAGCTAAAAATATGCATAAGCTATTAGCCAAACAGTGTTGTAAGTACTACAGTTTCTGTGTGATTATTCGGTCTGAGCAGCTGGGAAACAAACAAGCAGCCTCTGCCTACACTAGCTCAGCAGGGCCCTTGGCTTCTTAAACATGATGGCTTGCTCGAGTTTGAGTTTTCTGTCCTTGTTTCACCAAAGTTGGAAACCAGAAGCAAAGCTGAGGTGTGTGGATTACTCACAGACTTATGAGTGTTGTAACTGGCATGGCCTCATCTGCCGCACAGGGTCATGGTGAGGGAAGGGACTGTGTTTGTTCCTAAGGTATACTAAGACCTTCTGACTTCCCAGACCACATGCCTATGAGGCCCAGTTCCCAAACAAAAGGGATCTCAACTAAGCTCATATATACATTCAGGCCCTCGTGTGCACATACACACTCAAAAACATATACACACAAAGAGCAAAATGGGTTTGCTCAGAGCTCTCCGCTCAGTGCAAACAAGGCTCACCTTACACTAGTACATGTTCTCTATACATCCAGGCCCACGTGTGCACATACACACTCAAAAGCACATGTACACATGCACACTGAGAACAAAACGATTGTGCTCAGAGCTCTCTGCACACTGCGCACCAGGCTCACCTTGCACTGGTACATGTTCTCTGTCTCAGTCTTGCTCTTCACAGCAATCTCCTCATACTGGGCTCGAACCTCAGTGAGGATGCTGTCCAGGTCCAGCTGCCGGTTGTTGTCCATGGACAGGATGACGGATGTATCGCTGATGTGGGACTGCATCTGAGCAATCTCCTGGTGACCAATGCGGAGTGTTAGAGCTCCCCATGAGGACAGCACTTCCCCCGACCCTCCCTGGCCAACTCTTTACCCCTCCTCAGCTGGGAGTGAGAGTGGCTACCTTCAGCTTCAGTCCCAGGTGATTAGCACCTTGTTTGTACCCCATTTGTACTCAGGTCCCCCCATTCTTCTTCAAAGAAGGCAATGCTAACCATGTCAAAACTCAAGGGAGTCACATGCCACTTTTTCCTTCCAAGACCTTCTCTCTCCAGAGACATTCCCTGAAGACCCAGGCAGGGTTCGCAAGCCTCCCTCTACTATCCCAAAGTTCCTTCATATGATGTTTCTATGCCAAGCCTGAAGGACAGTGGTCTCTGTCATCAACATCTCCTCAGAGCTAATCTGGCTCTGTGACAGCCCTCAGTATTGCCTCAGTGAATGTCAGCCACACCAGGACAAAGGCTTTCCCATTCCAGCCCCAGCAGCTCCCTGAGGGAGGCCAGTGAAGTCCTTACCCCTTCATAGAGGACCTTGAAGAATTTGATGTCATTTGTCAAAGTATCCACCTTGACCTGGAGCTCCACCTTGTTCATGTAAGCAGCGTCCACATCCTGGGGACACATATGATGATCTGGCTGCCTTCTCTAGCCTGCCCACGCTGCCCTCAGTGCCCTCCCTGCTATTTGGAGTGGAATTTCTTTAACCCTTCATTCCCTTCACCCCGTGCTTCAAGAAACTAACTCGTATGAATTCCAGGGCCACAGTAGAAATGCAGCAGAATGCTGGGGCTAGGCTTGCAGCTTCTAGGTTTGCAGATTTCTAGGTTTGCAGGTTCTAAGCACCCAAGGCTCTTCCCTTAGCAGAAGGAATGGAGACGACAGAGTCCCTAGGAACTGAGCTGCCCAAAGGGTCCCTGCCCTTGCCCTGTGCACACCCCTGTGGCAGACGGTTGGCTCTAACTTTCTCCCTCCCCCCGCTGCACCCCACCCTCACCTTCTTCAGCACCACGAACTCATTCTCCGCAGCAGTACGCCTGTTAATCTCCACCTCGTACCTGTTGGAGAGAAGAGCCTTGCTCTCGGGACAGTTCAGGTCTGCAGACTTCAACCTCCGCGTGGCTACACTGTTTACTTACTCCAGGGCAAACAGCCTCCCCGAGAAGGATTACTGCTTCAGAGAGTATTGTTTGTTCTAGCTCCCTTAGTCCATGTACATCTGCCCTGACATGATTTTCCCGAGACAGCACTGGGTTGGGGACATGAGGATCCACTGCCCTCACCTTCACAAGTGACCTCCTCCATGTTACAGGAGAAAGGTTCACCCACCCACATGCCCATCCCCATTGACGTGATGTGACACCAGTCTACCAAGCAGAAGCACGACTCTCACTTTGAAACTATGCCACCAGGTTCAGACTTCCATTTCAGGCAAAGTAAGGTCTTAGAAAAGAGTTTGGATGAGTCCAGGATGTTTTTTATGTGGATATATTGTAGATTAAGAAAGTAGCATTGTTAACTTTTTTTATTTAAAAAGCTCAAAATGGTAAAATTTTGTTATACATTAAAAGTTAGGGATCTAATGCTTGAAGACAGCTCCCTCTATATATTTAAATATAAGTAACACTTTGCAGCTCTTCATGCATCCCTAAGGTACGTCACTGGCAGCCCTTCCACCCAGATTGATGTGAGTTAGAAAGCTGAGTGATTGAAGGTGTAACTGGGGACTGGGGCTGTAGCCCAGTAGTCGCACACTGGACTAGCGTGTAGTGGCACTTGGCTACATCCCCTAATATAACTAAACAAACATAGTTAATATGCCTGGGATGCTTTCTGAGACTGCTCTGTTTGTCTAATGATGTTGGATAAACACAAAGAAAGCAGTTCATACAACACATCCCAGATTCCAGGCTGTGCTCCCTGCCCCGCCTCTGCAGCCTCTGCTCAGATCTCCACCTGAGACCCAGCCCCATCCGGACTCCATTGCTCTCAGTTAACCTGCACTCATTGCGACCATTTGGAAGCATTTCTGTAAGCCTGAGCCTATAGTCTCTCTGCGGTCAGGGCAATCGCCAGCTCTCCATGGGGGTCTCTGTGCAGAGCTCAGACTATGCTTCCGGCTGAGGGGACTGCAGAAGAGGGTGGCCAGGACGTTCAGATGTGGAAAAAGAAAAATATTTCAGCACTGAGCATCTCCACCCCTTGAAATTATGGCAGCTGGTACCTGACCCTACAAACCTGGCAACTAGAAGCAAACTTTCCAAATACCAGGTTTGTATCCTTCTGAAATTCCCCTCCTTGTTCTCAAAAACATTCTCAATTTTCCTTAAAGATGAGATTGCACGGGATATGTACACTTCAAGATGAACTAAGTTTTAAATTTTCATATTGCTTAGTTTTAAATTTTGCTCCAGGGGGAAACTGTCATAGAAAACCTTACTTAGGAAAACTCAAAAAGCCATTTGGACTAAGCAGAGGAGTTTCAGCCAGTGCTCTTTGCCCTAGCCTTCAACTTCCCTGGCTAGAAACTGGACAGGTTTCCTGGACAACACGGGGGAGCATGCTGAGTAGATGTACAATCTTTCCAACCCCATTTAGGTGTCTCTGCCTGTAGGATATGAGAGAAACACCCACGGTCTCAACCAAGGAGCTAAAGCATGGGAAGCCATCCGCGGCCGCTCCCAGCCACACCTCCGCCCCCACTCACCACCTCTGCCCCCACTCAGCACCTCCGCCCCCACTCACCACCTCCACCCCACTCAGCACCTCCGCCCCCACTCACCACCTCCACCCCACTCACCACCTCCGCCCCCACTCACCACCTCTGCCCCCACTCACCACCTCCGCCCCCACTCACCTCTTCTTGCAGTCCTCCACCACTTCCCGCATGTTCCTCAGCTCCGAGTCCAGCCTCACCCGGTCCCCGGACAGTGTCTCCAGCTGCTTCTGCAGGTTGCTGATGTAGCTCTCATGAACCGGTTCCAGGCTCCTCTTGGAGTTGTTCAGGTCCAGCTGCTGCAGCAGGGCCCACTTGGTCTCCAGCACCTGGTTCTGCTGCTCCAGGAAGCGCACCTGCAACCGAAAGGTGGTCATGGCCCACAGTTCCCTGTGCTACTGCCTTCTGAGAGTGGAACGGAGGAAATAATGGTTTATCCGAGGGACCCTTCAGCCAGGGGCGCATGGGATCTGAAATGTCAAGGGAAGACCGTCTCTGAGAATGCAATGGTGTCATCTGCCTGGCAAGTGGCCATGTGACTGGGTCAGTTTCTCTTGCTGAAGAAGCTGAGAGCTGGAGAGTGGGAGGTACGGCAACGTTCCCTTTCTCTTAGAGCTCGGATGCTACTGGTTGACTTTTCAGTTTGTTCAAAGCCAGTTCTCACATATTTCAGGATTCCCCTCATTTCCTCTGCTACTCACCAGCCATTCCCTTCTACCTGTCTCTGAGCTTAGGGCAGAAGGAAGACGCTGAAGTAGGGAGTTAGGAGCGAAAAGTCATTGACTGTTCCACCAACATGGGTTTATTTCTCATCATTCCAGGCCTTGATTCCTTCATGTAAAACCCAGAGGAGAAGCAGAGGTCTCAAGTTGATAAGAGTTGATGAGGAAACCCAGGATACAGTAATCTCTCCACAATGCCAGCTGTCATTATGTCCCTAACATGCTCATGGCCGAGCCCTCTTATAGGGGGCCAGGTGAGAGAAACCCATTTCTAGTCCCTTTCCCATTCACTAGGGTCCCTGCCACTGACCCCCAACAAAGACACTTTCTGAATTACCCATTGCTGAACACTTTATGTCTTCTCTGTAAATATCTCTAAGCCTGACTTAAATTTTTTGACCCTTTTCTCTCCCCTCTTCTGAAAATATGCCCTCCCTCCTTTTACTTCCGTGCCTTATGACACTCCCTGGTCTTCGTCCCTCTAGTGCCCCTCTTCTGGATGTGGATCTCTGGTGTCTTGTCCCACATAAAAGGATAAGGTTCCCCTTCTCTGGGTAAGTGTGCCAGGCACTGTCCTAAGTGTATTAATCCTTAGGTCCCAGTAAGAAATCATTATTGAGCCTCTTTGACAGATGCTGGAAAGGAGACTAGCCCAGTTCTCCCGCATCAGCGGCAAAGCGAACGCACCGTGGCGCTCGCCAGTGTCAATGCAGGCCTAGCAGATGCCGAAGGACATACCTTGTCGATGAAGGAGGCGAACTTGTTATTCAGGGCCTTGATTTGTTCTCGCTCCTGCGCGCGCACCTTCTGGATCTCTGGATCCAGTTCTAAATTGAGTGGGGCCAGGAGGCTCTTGTTGACGATGACCTGGGGGATGCCGCCCGGTGGGCACACTGATGGACACGTAGGGCCCAGTCCTGCACTGCCGAAGATGGTGCCCACAAAGCCTCCAGGGCGCCCACCGCTTGCCCCTCCGTGGCCCAGTGCAAAGCCGCCGCTCCGCCCGGAAGAGCTCAATGCCAGCCGCCGGCCGCCCCCCATGCAGAACAGACTCCTGCTGCCAAAAGCTGCACCCTTGACCCCGGCCCGGACTGAAGCATGGCTGCCGCTGAACCGGCCCGAGATGACAGCAGAGCAGCCACTGAAGCCCAGGCGCTCAGCTCCAGGATAGAGGGTCAACTGGCGGCTCATAGTTGGCGGTGGGCAAGGACCGGCAAAGCGGCAGCAGACAGGCCTTGGGGCACGGATGCAGCTGCACTTCTGGCCCAGCTCGCCCCTTAAATAGTCCTGCTTGGTCTGGCAGGATGGAGACAGATAATTTGTATGTTGAAAACCCCTTTTGGATCACTGGATGGGGGGAGGGGACCTCTTGGGTCCTTCATATAGGAAATTACCATTCACTTGCAAAGATTTCCGACTCTTCCACTTCACCTGTCCATGAATCCCCCTATAAAACGACCCAGAACCCTGAATTTCCTGTGCTCATCTCCTACATTATAATAATTTCACCACCTTATCTCCAGAGGCCTCTCTGCAATTATGTAGGTCATCACTACCAAGATCTTCGGGAGAAAATTCCAGAGGAGAGCTGGGGGAGAGGGCACCAAGTGGAGCAGATGTTCGGGCTGGCTCTGCTGCGGGCAGAAACTTCCCATACGTTTGACAGCCAACCTGGGTTAATTCTTCCCTCCAAGACTTCTGGGACTCAGAGCAGTGTTGGCACCAGGAACGCTGAGGATGACTTTGGAAGAAACAGGTGCCTCGAATTGAGCTCTTAGTAATGCCTCAGAGCCTATGTTCCCCTCGGGGCATCTTGGGGTGGCCAGGCAGTGTCTGGGGGAAACTGACATGGCCTCCAGTGAGTGAGTCCATCAGAGGGCATAATAACAGCCAAGCTGTTTGCCCACATCGTGCAGTGTGATGTGGTTATTGGGAGGGGTGAAGATGGTGGCGCCAGGCAGAGATGGACAGATAGAGAAGGCCAAGGGGTCCTCATGGGGGGAAGTGGGCTTCTGTGTTGTCAGAGGAGGGGCTGGGACCCAATGGGCCCTTACAAACTCCAGGCTGTGCTTCTCAAACTTTTGTTATTTCAATTCCACCCACGATTAAATTGCCTGTTTTCCCCACAACAAGAACAAGAGTTTATCAGTTCTAGCATCAAGAACAGAAAAGTGGGAAAGATGTTTAAAGCCAATTTGTGTAAGCCATTGGCTCACAAAAGTCACCTTTGTGGTCACTTTTTTTCTGAAAACTAAGACAGAGACATGAATCCCTCTTGGGCTAGGTCTCCCCTTCTGCAGATAGGGAAGAGGTAAAATGGCCTTTGCCTGCCTCCCCCTGGGGGTTCCGCTGATGGATGAATCAGGAACTCCCCACCCCTGCACTGCCTTCATTACAGATGGTGGAGAGACGCAGGTGACACATGTGACTTCAGAGACATCTGATGTGTGGGGATGTGGGCAGATCAAAGGAGGCTGAGGCCTGGGCTGGGGGGAGGGCGGTTCTGGCACCTGCCTCTGATAGCAGGCTGCTGTGTCACCTGGGCCCTGGAGGCAGCCTGTAGCATTTGGGTTTTTGATCGAGTTGCCCCTAGAGGTTGCTGTACCAAGGAAGAAATGTCTCCCTTCAAGACCAGGTCTACAGCAAAAGGTGAGTGAAGCCATTCTAAAACGATACTTGCTAATGGACCGTTCAAACTGGCTCTCCAATGCTCTGAAGCACCGTGCTTGAGAAATTAATAAGTACCATGTGAGAAAAGTCTCAGGGTGGAGGATTTTAGGTTTAGAAAAAGTTAGGCAGATGTCTTGTGCAAGACTCGCTAGTTTATTACCGCACTTAGTAACAGGATTTTCAAGACAGTGAGAATGCTCTGTGAGTATAGCAAGAGGACCTCAGTTCGGATCTGCAGTAATCGCACAAATGCCAGCGGATTTGCTATGCCACTGTAATCCCAATGTGTGGTATGCAGAGACAGGAGATTCCTAGAGCAGGCTGCAGTGGGCTTTGGAGTAAACTAAGAAACCCTGCCTCAACATACGCAGTAGAGAGTTATCAGGGAAAACATGTGACATCAACCTCGGGACTCCATTCACACACATACATGCAAAACACAAACAAACAAACCAAACCAAAATCTCCAATCCTAAGAGTGAACTATGGACTCCAATGGCAATTATGTGTCAACCATATCAAACCTCTGGTGGGGATGCTGATGATGGGGAGGCTGTGAAGGCAGAGGACATGTGGGAAACTGCTGTACCTGCCTCCCCATGAACCTTAAGGTTTTCTTTAAAAAAATCAAACCCAAGACAGGCATGGGAACGCATGCCTTTAATCCCAGCACTTGAGAGGCAGAGGCATGTGGATCCAGGTAAGCTCAAGGCCAGTAGGGTCTACATGGTGAGTTCCAGGATAGTCAAGGCTACATAGAGAGAGCCTATCTCAAAAGAAAGAAAGAAAGAAAGAAAGAAAGAAAGAAAGAAAGAAAGAAAGAAAGAAAGAAAGAAAGAAAGAAAGAAGAAAGAAAGGAGGAAAGAAAGGAAGAAAGAAAGGAATCAAGCCCAGCATAAGTAAATAAATGGATGGGTGACACCAATGGCATTAACAGCAGCAAACGCATCTGTGCTTTCGGCTAGCCAGAGGCCATTACAAGCCTGGATCTTTTCCACATGCAGTGCCAAGGTGAGGTTATGAATGGTTGACTTTTTCAACTTTTCAATATTTCTGACTTGTCAAATATGAGCAGAAAATATTTTTATAAATGAATCCACTTTTAAATAAAAACAGAGAATAGAAAGAGAGAAAGTTGATCTTTATATCAGACATAAAGTACTCCCCTTATTCACAAAAGAAAGTCTCAGGGTGTCCAGAGAATTTTGAATCAAAGAACTCACTCTGGCTGCACATATTATGGAAACCAGAGCTTCAGGGTTCCCCACTTCATCATTAAATGTATTTCAATTATCCAAATCCATGATGATTGGCATTGCCTCCATGTAATGTTTATCGTATTGGTAAATTGACACGTGCTACTCGAGCTCACTGGGAAGTTGGGTCCAGAAAGGGTCCCTCCTCATTTCAGACCCAAGCATGTTCGTCTCAAACTGCCCCCTCCTTGTCCAGGGATGGGCCACTCAAATGGATGAGCGACACAGCTGAGTCTCCCTAAGATTAACTAGAAGGTCAGCCATTTCCACCTGAGTGTTACTATGGTTTGTCCCAGGATATAAAAACCCCTGGAGTGGGAATGGGAAGCTGGGAGTTGAGCCATGCAATGCCCATCCATGGTGGAAAAGTTCAGTAGGGAACTCCAGCTGGCTGCCTCAGCTTCCCAAGTCATTTCTGCTGGATGATTCTAAGTGCCTAATTTGATACCATCTATCCGCCCCTTGCTATGTAAGTACTTAAAAGCCTTTCTTGATCACTGTTACACCCGAGACTCTCCCCTGGGAACCCCAGCTGATTGTCTGTTTCCCGGTTGCCATCTGCTGCATGTGTGTAAGCCGTTTGATGACGTCATCTTCTGTTTGCACTCTCAATTTTGGGCTATTCTAGTAAACTCTGCTGGATGCTGTAAGTGCCTGATTTGATAATGTTTGTTATCTGCCTGCTGTTTTCTCTATCAGCTACTTGTTTGTTTGAAATACATAATGAATTTACACATTCAATTGAAAAATGTGGCCACTGTATAGATAATTCTCCAAGCCGCAGAAAGTTCCTCTTAAAAGTCATTAAAAAGACCTAAATATAACATACAGCCTCATGTAGCTTATGGTAGTGTCAACTGAGGCAGCTTGTTTCAGAGACTCGCAGGCAATGCCAGATAAACCCAATTTCCTCTTTATCTGCCAGCCTCCTTTGGGGTTCCAGTGGTGTTTGGAAACATGGAGTAGGATTGGCCATTGAGAAGTGAGTTTGAAGAGAGCCACATCTCGGGTGATGAAGCCTTTAGGAGCCTTGGTGCCCTTTTCTTCTATCTCAGTGACCTTGGAAGGCATGCATCCCATGTGCTCTAGCTAAGAAAAGCCTAAGTAATAGCCATCCACTGAAACAACCATGGAGATAGCTACCCTAGCCTGCTGCAGACAGTGGGTGAGAAATTAGACCTTTTGGATTAAAATGAGATGTTCAGATTCCAGGGTTTGTCTACTGAGGCTGTTGGCATTGATTCTCTGCATCTAAGCATAGAAGATAGATAGCAAAAATTTTTCAATGGTGGGGAGAAAAAGAACTTCAAGACAGGGTTTCTCTGCATAGCCCTGGCTCTCCTGGAATTAACTCTATAGACCAGGTTGGCCTCTGCCTCCTGAGTGCTGGGAATAAAGGCGTGTGCCACCACTGCCCAGCAGAAATAACTTTTACTGTTCTTTATCCTAAATTTTTGCTCATTGTATAATCTGATTTCTGTTAGATCTCCTCCACTTCCCTCTTCACCTAAGCCTCTTGGAATAGCATTCTGCATCTCATGATACTGTTTGTGAGGTGCTCTAAGTACAGGCACTGAGAGAAACGACTCTCAAACACAAGCCCTATTAAATTTAATTCTCATGGCAACTTCGAATGGTAACTACTGTTACTAACCAAATATAAGACAAGGAATCTGAGACCATGGAGCAAAAGTGCCCTCTAAAAGGGTCCCTCTAATCCCCTGCTGCTGCCTCCTGGCTTCAGGGGTTGCCATGCCCCTCAACCGAGCCCCTTCTGTCCGACTCTCCACAGTCTAGCAACAAGAAGCAAATTTGCCCACTCACTCAAGTGCCTCTGCTCCCATCTTCACTTCTCCTGGTCATCCACCCAGGAAGCTGCCGGCCTCTGAAGCTTGCAGACATCCTGCCTCCTGTGAAAGCCTGCCCTGCCTCCCCTCAGTGGCTCCTCACTGCCAGGATGGCCACTGGGTCTTGTTTCCTCACTGGGATATGGTTACCTTTCCTCGTGGTCATATCTCCCTACAGGACATACACAGGGTTTCATCATCCCGATATTTCATGTGTTAACACATGGAATAAGCAAATATCTTGTCACAAGACTTGCTGTGGACCATTAGCTTACTTAATGCTGAAAGATTTGTGGAGCAGTGAAATAACTCTGTGTTTTGCCATGATGGAAGACACATGTCATTATGTGTTTTTTAAATCCATAAAATGCCCAATATGAAGAATGAACCGTATGTCAACTCTGGTCTAAACCATTGAACTGCTCCCTGTCATGATGATAATGGACTAAATCTCTGAAATTGTAAGTAAGCCACTCCAATTAAATGTTTTCTTTATAAGAGTTGCCATGGTCATGGTGTCTCTTCACAGCAATGGAAAACCCTAACTAAGACAACAGTTGGTGCCGGTGATTGGAGTGTTGCCATGACAGGCCTGACCACGCTTTCATATGGACTTGGGCACTTTGGGTTAGGAAAGCAGTAGAATGCTTTAGTCACTGCCTAACGGGACATACAAGTAGGAGCATGGAAGACAATGGTGCAATAATGATTTGAAATGTCGGGAGCTGGCTCAAGGGTCTTAAGAGAATTATAGAATATTGCCTAGAAATCATTCTTGTGATAGTTTGGTGAAGAAAGTGGCTGCCTTTGCCCTTTTGTTAAAAGAGTTGGCCTGAGGCTAAAGTGCAGTGTTTCAGACTAATTCTATTGACAGAGGAAATCTCAAAACAGCCTCACATAGATGCTTTCATGTGGATATTAGGGGTAACTCTAATGAAGATATATAACAAGGAGAAAGCTGAGCAAGGAAAAATATTTGAGGAGAAAAAGGACACCAGAAAGTAGAGTTAAATTCTTTGTTCAAGGAGATAAATGGATTAACAAGTGGAATAAAGGGAGTGGTGACCTTAGGGCAAGAATCCTCCCGCTAACTTTCCCACTTGTGAAAAGGAACTAAAGGAAAGCTAGAGCCTAATGTGTTAGGGCACATCTCTAATCCCAGCACTGGGAAGGCAGAGGCTAGCAAATCTCTGAGTTTGAGGCCAGTCTGATCTGCAGAGCAAGTTTCAAGACGGCTGAGCTTAGGCAGTGAAAGATAGAAAGCTGGTGAAGATGTAACTCAGTGAGGGGGCCATGTTCCTACCCCAGTAGGCATGAAACTTGGCAGCTTTGGCCACATGGTTCTGTCTTTAGAGTTAAAGATTAAAAAAAAAAAAAAAGGAGTTATCTAATAAAGCTGCTGAGGCCAGGCGTGCAGGGTGTCCCTCAATGGAGGCCCAGAGAGGCCATTGCATGAAGCTGTGAAGTTGAAGCCTGGATTCCTTGGAGAAACCAAGATGTTAGAAATGCCAGAGCTGTGGGATACTGCCCAGGAGAGCTGCTAACAGGGAGTGGAACCAGTCCAAGAGAAAGAAGTGTGTGGCAGTCAACAAAGCTGAACAGTTGGGAATGTGGAGAGTGTTTTGCCATCAGACATGCAGATGTAGAGTTTGGAGCTTGCAAAGCTGTTTGGTCTTGCTTTGGTCCAGTACTTCCTTGCTATTCTCCCTCCCCTGTGTTTTGGAATGGTAATATATCCTATGCCATTTTATGTTGGAAGTATGTGATCTGCTTTTTGATTTTGATTTTTTTTTCAGGTAATTCAATCTCAGTTAAGAGATTGCCATGCATTTCAGAAGAGACTTTGAACTTTGAATTTGGAAATAAGTTAGAGACTATAGACTTTTGAAGTTTGACTAAATGTATTTTTGCACTGTGATATGACTACAAGGCCAAGGAGTGGAATGTGGTGGTTTGAAAGAAAGTGGCCCCCAAAGGGAGTGGTGCTATTAGAAGGAGTGGCCTCGTGGAGGAAGTGTGTCACTGGGGGGCGGGCTTCTGCTCAAGCTTTCCTCTGTGTGACAGTTGGCTTCTTGCCGCCTTCTGGTCATCATGTAGCAGTCTCTGCTCCAGCATGTCTGCCTGCACACCAACATGCTCCCCATCATGATGATAATGGACTGAACCTCTGACGCTGTAAGGAGGCCATCTCAATTAAATGTTTTTTATTAGAGTTACCATGTCATGGTGTCTCTTCACAGCAATAGAAACCCTAAGAAACCTGAACCTTCAGGACTCCTGTTCTGATGCCACCATGAGCCCCCACCTGAATGTCACCAGTCCTGTACTTGCATTTGCATTCTGTTTCATCTGAAAATATTACTGCTCCCTGAGGACTAGGAGACATTTCTGAGCACACAGTGATCTGTAAACAAAGTGACGTGTGTACAGTGTGAATTCTAATTGGTCTTCATAATAAAAGCCCAGAGTCAGAGATAGGGGTTAATGCTGGAAGGTCAGAGAAGCAGAGCAGAAGCCACTAGTCCTCACCTCTACTGGATTCTCAGAACCAAGGGGGCAGGATCCTGTCTCTGTGAATCCTCAGACTGAATGCCTTGAGCTCCTGTCTCCTCCTGCCTTACACTCCTCTCTCCACCCAGCCATACCCTTCCTGTCTCTACCTCCCTAGTACTGGGAGAAAAGGCCTGTGACTCCCAAGTACTAGGATTAAAAGTGTGAGCCACCACTGCTTGACTCCGTTTCTATGTTAGTGGTCTTGAACTCACAGAGCTCCCTCTGCCTCTGTCTCCCAAGTGCTGGGATTAAAGGTCTGCCTGGCCTCTATGGCTAATTAGTGTGGGTATCTTCACAGTCTGATCTTCAGGAAAGCTAAAGTACAAACAAAATATCACCATACATGTGTAATTGAGATGACCATTTACTTAAGCATAAACGCACGCACACCACACACACACACACACACATATTTACTAAGGACCACCACGACCTGGGTCATTTCTTCAAAGAGGAATCTACCTTTGGGGTTTTTAATCAGAAAACATCAAGTCTTAGGAGTTCCAGAATTGGCTTCCCATGCCTCTTGAACAACTTTATGTCCTGCTTCCAGAATTTGACTCCTGTGAGTCTGTATGCTGCTAAACATTGTATACCTGACTGTTGACTGAGGAAAAGAGGGCTCAAAAGATACACCTGTGGGGCGTGGACAATGCTGGGTATCAGTGCAGGTGCTGGGGTCCATGCAAGTTCATGGGGACCCAGCCTGTGCAGTGTCTAATTCATGCAGACCAAACAATACTTAGGATTCTGTGAAATGGAGGAAGCTCAGAGGCCAGAGGTTTTAATTCAGTGAGCGCTCCGCATACAGAAGGGAGGTGGTCTGAAATGAGGAGTTCTTCAGGAAACAGGCAATGTGGCCATACAGGAGTTTTATAAGTTTATTAGTAGAACACAGGAACAGGGATCTGGGGCCTAAATAAGGGACCCCTGGGCCTAAAACAGACAGAGATCATGCCAGATGCAACTATGGCCAGGTGTTGCTCTAGGCTGGGCTGGTTCTTGCAGGACGTCCATCAGCACATTCCAAGTCTCATGTGCCCAGATTGTCAGCCTAGAGAACCTTTATCTGCAAGGGGGCATGCAGGCAGAGGGATCAGGGCCTCGTGGAGGTATGGAAGGCTAAGAGAAGTGGTTTCTTTGCACTGGGGCAGAAAGATGCATGAGTAACTTCCTCAAATCCTGGTGCTGCTTAATAAAGACTAAGCGGGGTGACTGGAGAGGAGAAGGTGATGTTGGTAACAAAGGAAAGCAAGAACTGAGTGATGGTGAATAGAACAGAAGGTGTCACAGAAGAGAATACAGAGAAAACCAAGGCTGGGCAGATGCAGGGATTGACTGTTGGCTTATCTCATGGTTTTCTTTGTGGGTGAGCCCAAAGCCAAGTTCTTTCCTGAAACATCCTTAAATTCACTTGCACTACCCAGTCTGGCCTTGGTCTCTCCACGGGAGCTGCAATTCCCACCACCAGTGACACAGCCCCCAGACAGTATGCTGTAGCCCCCACCGACAGAGCTGGTCCGGTAGCCATAGTTGCCAGTGCTACTGAATCCAAAACTGGCCCCTGAACCGGCCCCAGGAGTGGAGCTGCTGATAACTGCTGTAAAAAGAATGGGAGAAAAGGGATCAGTGGGCATTGCAGGACAGAAGCTGCCCGAAGTCCCTTCCAGCTTTCAGCTAGACCAACTCAAAGATCTCCTTCCTAACTAAAGCCCTTACATGTACCCCAAGTTTACGTTTAGTGACACATACTCAATCCTGAACAAACCAAGCTCTGAGGAAAACAGCCCAGAGGGTACAGAATCCCCAGTCAGGCACCTGCTCTTTCTTGGATGAACAAGAAATAACAAGGTTGCCCCAAAAGGACAGGGGATGCCCAAGCACGAGCCATGTTCTTGCATTAATCTGAGAAGGCACACTTAAAGTCTTCCACTGTACTTCCAGTGGCTTGAGTTAGGGTGCTTGTGCTGTGGCCCCTTATCAATAGAGTGACGGAGCATTGCGGGAACAGGGATAGCGCTACTCTGTGCTGCGTGACTGCATAGGAGCGGACAGGTGACTCTGGACTCAGTTTCCCCTCATGCTTAGCAGTGTGGGCGTGGGTAACAGGAGAGGGTAGGTAGCTATAGTGTGGGCGTGGGTAGCAGGAGAGAGTAGGTAGCTACAGTGTGGGCGTGGGTAGCAGGAGAGGGTAGGTAGCTACAGTGTGGGTATGGGTAGCAAGAGAGGGTAGGTAGGAGAGGGTAGGTAGGCGTGGGTAGCAGGAGGGGGTAGGTAGGAGAGGGTAGGTAGTTACAGAGTTTTATCCCAGCACAGACAACATTTCTGGGGGAAGCGGTGATTGTGCTAAGCAGGGTTGTGAAAAGCTATCTCTCCTGGTAAAGCAGTAGCTCAGAGTGGTGGAGGCAGGAGGTGGAGCCCAAGATGCTCTCGAGTGGCCATGGTGGCAAGCACCCCCTCGTTCACTTTCTGCTTGCTGACTACCTGGAACCATGCCCTCAGAGATTTGAAATACTCACAGATGCTCACAGCACTGGTGTGTTCCCCAGACATCCTGCACAGAGAAAACACAGAGAGTCTCCATCACAATAAGAATCCTAAGATGAGCTCCCATTCACTGAACATGGGCCAGAGCCATCAGCTGGCGGGCTCCACCTCCACCAACCCCGCCAGCCACCAGGCGGACAAAAAGTGTTAACAACCTCTGTCTCAAGACTTGAACCTCGGAGTCCCTCCTGCCCTTCTGCCTTCCCCAGTCTACCTTCCCCACTTCAGACATATGAGGGCTGTAGTCTTGGGGGTCCCATGCTAACACCACTTTTGGGGCGTGAGTTTTTCTTGAGCCCATTGCTTGACTACTGGGTAGCTGAGGCCTGAGTAAGTAGAATACATGAATACAGACCCAATAAAGTAGCAATGAATGAAACTCCCGTGTGACTTTAGTCCCAGGATTTCCAAACGTCAATGTCCTGTGTCCCCCTAACTGGACTGGACTTTTGTGCAGTCCACATTGTTATCAATTGAGTATTTTTAGCTGGCTGCCTTTTATAGAAAAAAAATGCATTTCTCTTAAAAGAAAGTTTTATGCCACAATGGACAAAACTAGAATTATATAACCAAATAAGAAAAGAAATGCCTCTAAAAAATAGATACAGTGAAAAATAAAGCAAGTTAGCTGGAGGAGGGGAGCGAGACGGTGCTATCTGCTGAGAGGCTGAACTTAGGACCCACCATGAACACAAGGTATTTGTAAGGGCCACCGAGGGAGGCCTTGAAGCCGACAACATTAAACTGAAACACTCTGAGGAGCTGAAGGGGAATTTAAAGGACATTGCTGTCACACTGTGTGGATGGAAATCGCTCTGGGACTTGTTTGTGGTTGAACTGAAAAGCATCTACAGCCCCTCCTGTGTCCACATCCGGCGGTCTAGGGAACCGGATTGGGATGGGGGTTGTAAGGGTTCTCTGGCCCTCCAGCACCCCTACCTGCACTCCTGGCCCTCCAGCACCCCTACCTGCACTCCTCGCCCTCCAGCACCCCTACCTGCACTCCTGGCCCTCCACCACCCCTACCTGCACTCCTCGCCCTCCACCACCCCTACCTGCACTCCTCGCCCTCCAGCAGCTTGCGGTAGGTGGCGATCTCAATGTCCAGTGCCAACTTCACACTCATCAGCTCCTGGTACTCGCGCATCATCCGAGCCAGCTCCTCCTTGGCCTGGTGCAGGGCACCCTCCAGCTCATCCAGCTTGGCCCGGGCATCCTTGAGGGCACAGTCTCCCCTCTGCTCAGCATCAGCAATGGCCATCTCCAGATTGGAGCACTGAGAGACAGGAGGTGGCATTCCCCTTGAGTTCTGAGGTACCTGGGTCCTACTCTATTCCTATATGCATGTGCTAATGGTGGCGGGGAGGGGGCGCTATTCTGTCCTGCTCCACTTCCTGAAATGAATCTGGCAGTGAGGACCTTCACCTGGCCCCAGGGAAGTGTGCCATTCTCAGTCTTGTAGCTTTGGGGGAAACCCTATAATGGTTCTAGACTTTAGAAGGGGAACAAAAGAGGGGAGGAGATCAGGCTTCCCTGAGGAAGGGGTTTCTAGGACAGAGTACAAAGAGAAGGAGACAGGGCAGGAAAATCCTCCCAGCCTTCCCTGGGGTGTGTAGGAGTCTGTCAGGAACCCCAGCCTTCCCTGGGGTGTGTAGGAGCCCGTCAGGAGCCCCAGCCTTCCCTGGGATATGGAGGAGCCCGTCAGGAGCCCTGTTACTCACCTGCTTCTTCACATTCTCAATTTCTGATCGCAGTCTCTGGATGAGCCGGGTCAACTCAGAGATCTCGTTCCTGGTGTGTTTGAGGTCATCCCCATGGCGACCAGCTGCCAGCTGCAGCTCCTGGAACTGTAGGTGGGAAGTAGTAAGGCATACATATGACTTGAGGATGTCTGAGCTTACTCTAGTACAGAAACAGTCCTTTGCTTGGGGCCATGTGGCAGAAGAGGCAAGGGACACCCTCCCCATCCCCAGCTCATAGCCTCTTTGTCTTTAATCATCTGTCCCCGGGAGTATTCATGTCCCTTAAGCCTGGCCGATCTTCCTGAGGGTTGGATTTGGCACAGGACTCTTGGAAGTCCCACCTCTCCACACTACATCATTGTAAGATGCCTCCCCAGCTAAGGCCCTCTCAGCCTGTAGCCCTTTCAAAGTCAAGATTCAAATTCCTAGCCTGGCATCAAGGCTCTCACTTCATGACCCTGCCTTCCTTTATCTGCTTCCTAGGCTTTGCCAAACAGTCCTTTGATATCTGCTCTTAAAGGACTCTCGTGCTCTTGTGCCTCTGAGGGAGTAGGAGCATTTCTCTCCTCCAGAACCCTTCCCCACAGGCTCTCTCTTCCTTACATAGCTGTAACCAGGCCAGATCAGGAGGTCTTCCCTAACCCTCTGATTAGGCACAATTCTGTTCCTGTGATTCTGGGCTTTAGCAGTCAGATCTCACTGACACATTTCCATACCTTCCTCAGTGGATGGATTTTCAGTACGTATAGCATAATATCCCTCCGGTACCCAAGGGAAAGATCTGATGAATGAGTAGGTGGCCAGATGGGTGAGGAGACAGTCAGTGGAATTTTCCCACTTCCCCTTCTCCCTGTCAGCTTAGCTGAGCACAGGCTATATGGACTGTATTATGGGGCGAGGAAGGAGGGCGAACTTAGCACTGAATATCAGCCATGAATCTCTGTCACCTCGTGCCGTTTGGCTTATCCATTGAACAGAGAATATCCCAGCTCAATCTCAGAGTTCAACTTAAAGGGAAAACAGAGCAGGTGTGGTCTTCGGCACTTCAGGGTGGTGTATTTATTGCCCTGCCTCCATCCCTGGATGTTCAGCCCTGATGTGGTTTAGCACCATCAGAAGTGACAGCACCGTGACCCCTTTCTCCTGAGTGCTCTTGGTGAGTCTCCTGCACCTGTAGCGCTCACTTATTCATCTCAGAATGGTGATGATGAAAACCAGTCTCACAACGCTGGTCAGCACCCAGCCACGGCATCCCTCTAGCTAAACCCATGATGAAGTGGAGGTACCAATAACCCATGCGCAAAAGGTCTCTAAACCCATCTGTGAGACTCGTCTTATTCTTCTGGAAAGGACTATGGAGATGACAGCCTGTGTTTGAGTGCTGGATCCTGACCACCCAAGGGGGTTAAATCCCATGGCCATTCCCAGCCCTGGCTGATGAGAGTAAATGGAGAAGGTCACTAGTCTGAGCCTTCATCCAAAAGTCTAGGCCTGTGTTGCCCCTTAGGCCCTGAAGGCTAGCCCTTCCCCAACAGGCTAAACCTCTCCATCGGAGACTGGGAAAGAGATGGGGAAGGAGAGATAAGGTCTCCTGGGGGTGATTTATCCAGAGAAAGAACCCAGGGAACAGCAAGGAACAATTAGAAAGTTACCATCATGATCAGAGAAACCAGATTATCTAAGAGTCACCTCCCACCCACACCCATGGGGAAGCTGAGATGTGAGGGATAGCAACGCCCTCTTCATCCGTGGAGGTGGACTTGAACGAAAAAAGTGGGGGTTGCCTGATCCCAGATGGCACTGAAGAGACCTGTGACTCACTGTAATGACAGAGCTGAGATACTGACATCTACACGCCCCTCCCCCCAAGGGTACTTCAGAGCTCTCTGCCTGCAGAAAGCAGATCCTGCCCAATCCCGCCCAGTCTTAATGCAAGACTCATTTGCTTCTTGCACTTTGTACCCTGAAATGAATGCTGTTGGTTTAAGAGGAGCCTAAGGACAGAGTTGTCTTCTCCTTTCTTGCTTCCCACAATGCCAAGGCCAATGTCGTATTCCGAGATAGCTGGAGGCCATGGTGAGTTATGGCACATAAAAAACTGAGACCAAACCAGATCGCCCTACACACACGCCACCCTACCTTGGTCTGGTACACCATCTCAGCCTCGGCTTTGCTCTTCAAGGCAATGTCTTCATACTGAGCACGGACTTCGGCAATGATGCTGTCCAGGTCCAGATTGCGGTTGTTGTCCATGGACAGGATGACAGATGTGTCGCTGATGTGGGACTGCATCTGAGCAATCTCCTACAGGGGAAGAAGAATACGTGGCATGCCTATGATAGCAGGGAAAGGTGGCAAAATGATATCCAGCTAGAATAACCCCAGGGACACCCCAAACAGGCACAAGCAGCATTCCCTAAAGCCCAAGATCAGAGCCCAATATTGCTTTGAAAAACTTTCCAGTAGCTGGAAAGCCAACTGAGAAGAAAATCCACATGTCTGTCCCAAGAGGGGGCAAGAGGGAGGAGAGTGAAGGAAAATAGCTTGGTCAGCTATCGCCCAGTCTTTGAACTACAAAGCCCTCAGCACCCAAATGCTGGAGGGCTCCTGGGCCCCTTTAAACGGACTGATAAATAGGTACCTTATCATCACAAGTCCTTCCCGAATCCAAAGCTAGAGGCGAGGACAAGCCTTACCCCTTCGTACAGACATTTGAGGAACTTGATCTCTCCATCCAGAGCGTCCACCTTGGCCTGCAGCTCCACCTTGCTCATGTATGCTGCATCCACATCCTAAGGAAATCCAGACACTTCCTACTGACCCGTCTCCCTTAAAGCCCCCATCCTGTGGCTAACTGTCCCAGGGAGAGACTCAAGACCCCGGGGGAAGAGCTTGACTTCAGCCCAGACTCACAGTGAGAGAGGCTACAGACCCTGTTCCTCCCCACAGCAACTTGTCTGAGATGTGGTGGCCATCCACACGTGTCCATTTACACAGCCGTGAAGAAGATGGCTAAGTAACCTGTGCTAGACCAGCAGCAGTGTCTACGATGGACGCAGCCAGCCTCCGTCTCTGGCTTGTCAGCCCCAAGCCCTCTGCTCTTGCCCCTGCAGCCACCATGGGGGACAGAGGCCAGGTGCCCTTCTCACCTTCTTAAGCACCACAAATTCATTCTCAGCGGTTGTACGCTTGTTTATTTCTTCTTCATACCTGTGAGGAAAGCGTCAGTGAACAGGGGCTGGGTGTGCCCTTGTTTGTGCGCCTATATCTGTGTGTTCTCACTGAGAAATACAAGATGGCTGAATTGTGGACCCTGAAACAGGTGCTTTCAGCTGTCCCAGCTTGGTAGGGTTGCTTAGCTGGGTATCAGTAGGGACCTGCGCTTGGTGGCTGGAGAATTTGGGTCTAGGTTTCTTCTGACACCTAGGGAGTGAGTCCATTTTTCCTCCTCCTTTTCAGCATCCAAATCAAAGGAACAGGACAATACCACTCCAACCTGAGATGGAAGTTCAGAAAGCTAGAACTACCCGCACCCAGGTCAAGAAAGAATGACTCAGATGCTCAGGACCCAGTGAGAGGAGAAGCTCAATTGGAGCTCTACGTCTTGCTCTGCTGGAGTTTTCCTTGGAGCTTGGGACACCCTGGGTGAGCTTAGGAACTGAAGCTCTGTGTTGAACACATACAAGGTCTCTCTCTAGAAAGGTTAGGAAGCAACGCATGAAAGAGAAAACTGCTTTCGATGGCATCTGCCCAGCAGGTTGGGTATCCACAGTCCAGCCCATTTGGTTATGCCCATGAAGGCTCTATCTTGCCGGGTGAACTCAGATGGCTTGCCGCGGAGGCCAGATGCAAAAGTCCCAGGACCTGCTTAGAAAGCCCCACCCCAGAAGCCAGTTAGAGACATAGTGTCCTCACTCACCTCTTCTTGCAGTCCTCCACAGCATCTCGCATGCCCCTCAGCTCCGAGTCCAGCCTCACCCTGTCCCCAGACAGAGTATCCAGCTGCTTTTGCAGGCTGCTGATATGGGCCTCATACACAGGCTCCAGGTTCTTCCTGCAGTTGTTCAGGTCCAGCTGCTGCAGCAGCTCCCACTTGGTCTCCAGCACCTGGTTCTGCTGCTCCAGGAAGCGCACCTGCAAGCCAAACCCACAGCCCACTGTTCCCTCTCTACAGCCAACAGGAAGGAAGGGATGGGAGACTTTCTTTCCAGAGGAAAAGGATGGGTTTTGATCTGCTGTGTGACCTTTGAAGGTGAGCTCCGGGAGAAAAATGACACTCACGTACCCCCCTCCCCCGTCAATGTTCAGTCTGGCAGCCTGGAGGCAGCTCTGGAGGTCGTGAGGAGCCCAATATGCATTTATCTCCAACCTGTTACAGTGTTGGCTGTTTGTCTCCTGGCCCAGTTTAAACCTGCTGGGTAAGTATTGATGGGTTGCAGGAAAGTCTTTCTGTGGCAAGCTCTTAGATGTGAATTTGCCTGCCAGCTTCCCAGGGTGGGCCTGGGGACCTCATCTGTTTGCCTGCTCTCTCTCCACACCTGTGGCTTCCCCCACCCTACCTGGAAGCCAGGTACCCAACTGAACTGGGGTCTTAAGCTCTCCTCTTAGATTTGCCAGGATGTTTCCATTGTTAAAGACTCACCTACCCCTTGCTCCTTGGTGCTCAGACTTGTGTAATCATCAGTGTTCCTAGAGCTCTTCAAAATGCAGAATGCATAGGGTCTGGCATTCCACCCCTTCCAAGGCCACTGCCGGTCTCTCCTCTACCTCCTAAGTCCCACTGGCTCTGCCCCCACTTAGGCACTTCTTTACCAAGAGTTCACTTGCTCTGCTTCCTAGAGACCTTCCAAATAAAGCTGTCTCAAGCTCCTTGCAAGCCTTTGGTCCTGTCCCTCAGTCCTGATGTCTAAGATATTGTCTGTTTCCTCTCTACTCTGTCCTGAACTATGTCTGTATCCTGGGAAAGCCCCCCACCCCCCGGCCAGGGCAGTGAAAGTGCAGGAAGAAAGGAGTACTTAGCTATCAGCTGTCCCACCTTGTCGATGAAGGAGGCGAACTTGTTGTTCAGAGCCTTGATCTGCTCCCGCTCCTGCGCGCGCACTTTCTGGATCTCCGGGTCCAGCTCCACATTGAGTGGAGCCAGCAGGCTCTTGTTGACAGTGACCTGGTGGATGCCTCCCGGCAGACACAGGGATGGGTTTGAAGGCCCCAGAGCCCCACTGCCAAACATACTACCAGCAAAGCCACTCGCCCTATTCCGTCCAAACCCATATCCCCCTGTGCGCCCGCTAACGCCAGCCACATTGAAGGAGATGCTCCTGGCACCCCTCAGGCTGTAGAGGCTCCGACTGCTGAAGCCCCCACCGAGCCCTTTGCCCCCTGCCCGGTAAGAGGATGAGCTGCTGGACAGCACAGCTGAGCAGCCGCTGAAGCCCCTGTTGCCAGCTCCAGGCTTGCAGGTGAATTGACGGTTCATCATGGAGAAGCCACAGAGTGGGTTTGCGATGCACAACCTTCCCAAAGAGACAGCGACCTGTTCACCCGCTTGTGATCTCGGCCTTCCCTTATAGAGCTCAAGAGAACAATTGCCCTAATTGGTGGGTTTAGTTTGCCTGGAAGGAAAAAAATCATTTTCTCCTATCAAAATCAGAGACATGGGGTAACTTGAAAACTCCCAAAGTGCTGGCTTGCAAGTCTTCTGCATGTAATTGAGTCTTATCTTATTAGCATGGGGTAATTAGCTGGCTATATTATCCCCAGAAGATCTTGGCTAGGAAGCTTGTCCTGATCCCTACGTACTTCTTCAGAGGGCTGGGCGAGTGGGAGTGCTGAGGAGACTGCTAATTGTCAGTGTGTCTCTGAGAAACCCCGCACCTGGGCCAGCACCAGCTCACCTGATTCAGGGACCCCGACTGTCGCTTTCATGTGGTTAGGAAGTCCCAAGGCCTGGCTTTCCAAGGCTGCCAGAGATGGTTCTCAGGTCCGACTTGCCAGGGGTGCAGAATGGGAAATGATCCAAATCGAGACTCCACCCTCTGGCAGTGAAGCTTCCTGCTGTGCCCTCAGGGTAGGTCCCTTGCTCCCCTGTGCCAGCCGGGTGCCTGCCTGCCTCCACCCCAGTCTTGGAGCCTCAGAGTGACGTCATCACCACTGTTTTGCAGTGTAGAGAGCTCCTTGCACATAGCATGCTCTGCAGAGAGATGGTAAGTCTCCAGTTCATAAGCGGGAAAGCTGAGGGCTTCATTCCTGTAGCAAACGTTTCATAAATCCTTTCTCTGTAAGAATCTCAGAAGATGAAAATCACCTAGAAACACACAGGCCTCTTGATGTGGGATTCCCCTCTGGATGCTATAAATATATTTTATTGCCATTGGTTAATGAAGAAGCTGCTTTGGCCCATGGCAGGGCGGAATAGCAAGGCAGGAAATCCAAGCAGGGACAGAGGAGTCAGGTCAGACGCCTGTCAGTCACTGAGGAAATAAGACATAAAAAAATAAGGTAAACCACAGCCACGTAGCAATACATAGACTAATTGAAATGAGTTCATTTAAGATATAAGAGCTAGCTAGAAATATGCCTAAGTCATCAGCCAAACAGTGCTGTAATTACTATAGTTTCTGTGTGATTATTTGGGTCTGGGAGGCCAGAAAATGAAAGCATGGTCTCTACTTACAATCTCTGTCGTAAGGATTTCCCCTTTGGACTTCCGACTCCATGTTCTGAGCCACACCAGCCTTTCCATGAGCCCACCCTAATGGCCAACCAGCTGCTGCTTCCTTAGCACACACATTCGCTCAGTCAGTTAGCAAACATCTGAGACTGAGCACCCCAGGTGTTGCGCTGTGTTCTGGAATCCTGTACTAAGAAGACCAAACATCGCTCAGAATTCTAGGAGGCAGTTAAATTATCATTAGACCCCTGACGCTGCCAATGCACGGGACCCAAGAGTTTTACAATCCCCAAACCTCAGATATACCCACAGTCAGCAATTTCCTCCTTAAACCCAGCATCCCACGAGTGCAGCACCTGACTGCAGTTTCTACAGTGGCGATGAGTGTCCAACATTGTCGCACCAAGCAAATGCAGCCTTCTTTATGCAAATTAGCTCTTCTCTGGTATGAAAAATTGTTTCCCTAGATGTTCCCAGTTTCACTACAGGCAATGGCCACTGTCAATTTTTTAATCTTTTCTCCTGATCATAAAAGTTCTCATCCTCCCCAGGCTTCCTCACGAGAGAGGCAGAGTGCATGAGGACAAAGACAACAGCGTCCTGGTTCAGATGCTGAACACTGCAGCCAAGCCCACCCTGAAAGCCCCGACTGACTCCTATGGCAGGCCCTGAAAACCCTCCCTGGCTCATTGACCGCTCTTCAACCAATCATCTCTGCCCAGGAATGGTATCCAATACTCAGATCTAACTAGTGTTAGTATTTAGAAATTGCCAGAAATGATGACTTTCCCATGCAGTTTGTTAGATCAATGTGGTGGTGTGGAGACAAAGCAGACGGGCAGCCTTCTAAAGAGGACAGGACACAGACCCAACCACAGGGAGCTGAGGCCCAAGTCTCATGGATTTGTAGAATGGCACAGGCATGCTGTACCTTACTTCAAGCTGGTCTCTGCCGACTGTGTGGTCCCAGGACAAGATTGCTTCTGCCGTGTCCTTCCTTCATCCCTAGAGAGGAAACATATGAGTTAGGCCTCCAGGAGTGAACAGAAGCAACAGCACCCAAAGGTGACTTTGGATGGTTCAAGGAAAATGTCTGTAGGTTAAGGGGGCAGGGGAGAGATGGCAGTTGTGTCTACTGAACATGCTGATAGTTGCTAGCTAAAATTAGATAGTGTTGGGATCCAAGCTGATCCAGGGCTTTTTCGGGGGCTCAGATGAAAGGATAAAGGCGTGCTGAATATTTTTATGTCAATTTGACACAAGCCGAAGTCATCTAAGAGGAGGGAACCTCAATTAAGAAAATGCCCCCCACAGGGTTGGAACCATGGCTAAAGCACTGACTACTCTTCCAGGGGACCTGGTTTCAATTCCCAGCACCCACATGGAGGCTAAAATTGTCTGTAAGTCTAAGATCTGACACTCTCACACAGACATGCATGCACCAAATGCACCAAATTTAAAAATAAATTTTTAAAAAGAAAGAAAGATAATGCCTCCATAATATTCAGCTGCAGACAAGCCTGTAGGGCATTTCTTAATTAATGATTGATGCAGGAGGACCCTACCCATTGTGGATGGTGCCACCCTAGGCTGGTGGTCCTGAATTCTGTAAAAAAGCAGGCTGAACAAGCCATGAGGAGCAAGTCAGTAAGTAGCACCCTGTGGTGATATTTTCTTTGTGATCTAACAAATAAAGCTTGCCAGAAGATCAGAGTGCAGAGCTAGCTGTACTAGCTAGCCAAAAGAGGTCGGGCAGTGATGGCACACACTTACTCCCAGCTCTGGGGAGACAGAAGCAGACAGATCTCTTTTAGTTCAAGACCACCTTGGGCTACGTGAAATTGATCCAGTCTAAAAGAGAAACAGAGCCAGGCAGTGATGGCTCACACCTTTAATCCCAGTACTTGGGAGTCACACGCCTTTAATCCCAGCACTAGGAAGGTGAGGCAGGAAGGAACATGGCTGGGCCAAGAGAGGAATATAAGGTGGGAGGAGACAGGAGCTCAGAGCAGTCTGAGGATGCAGTCTGTGTAGGAGCCCACAGAAGTGTATCCGTCCCACCTTGACTAAAGGTCAGAGAGCTCAGACCTGTTCTTGCTCCTTCAAGGTTATATGACAGAAGGTTTGACCCGAGGTGTGACTGCTGACTGGATGACCTAGCCTGTGGTTACCTGGTGTTCTGGGTATTAAGAAGGTAATTAGTTTGTGCCTTGTATCATGGTAAAGAAGTCTTTTGCCTTCCCCCTTCTGTTTGGATTGGGGTCCATAAAGGCTTTGAGAAATAAATGCAAGGCGAATCTCAGTAGTTACGGGATGCCCTCCCGATTCTATCACTTGTCTGTGTCTATTTCTTCCCCAATCCTCACTCTTCCCTACAACGGGCGAATATGTCGGGCTGGACATGACAAGCCTGTGCGTGCTGTCCGAGGATTTGCAGAGACAGGATCACCCCTTTGGCCTGAGCATTGGTAGAGGTGAGAACTCTCATGGCTGGCTGCTCTGCTTCTCTGATTCTTTAGCTTTCTCCTTCTAATAGCTGACTCTGAGTTTTTATTATTAACACCAATTTGTGCTACAGCTCCCCTCCATGGTCTCTGCATCAGCTCCTACCTCTAGGTTCCTGCCCTGCTGGAGTCCCTGTCCTGATCTCCTTTGATGATGAACAAAGATATGATCTGGAAGTGCAGGCAAAATAAGCCCTTCCCCCCTCCCCAAGTTGCTTTTGGCTGTGGTGTTTTGTCACAGCAATAGTAACCCTAACTAAGACAAAAGGAAATGCTAGTTCTGTGTGCTTACCTAGGGGCAGAATTGTTAAGATCCAGTCTAGAGCTGGTAGAGCCTTGAAGGAGTTAGGGTTTTGGTTCCTGGGAACCCAGCTCCCCTCCTCACCAGGCAACTATGTCTGAGGTGTCCTGCGTTTCCCTCACCAGCATTGCTTGATTAAGCTTTCTGTTGACCTCGGAACATATTCCCTTCCAAATAATATACCGGGTACTTTACTTCTTAATAAACTTGCCTGGCATAAGCTATAAACATGATCTCCTGGTTCCAGTTTTTGTCTTCTGTATTTTATCATCCCAAGTTCTTTCCTTCACACCTCAAAGTTTGGAACCCTTATTCCTTTGTGATCAAGTAAAGAGAGTAAATTCCTATCGCTGAAGATGCCTCATGCTTGGCTTCAGGGCGTGTTGAACTCAAGCGGAGGCTGAACTGGAAGGTCTCTTCCTTCTGACGGGCTTTCACAGTGCTGCAAGGCACCAGCGCAGACTCTAGGGGAAACTGTCACCAACAGTCCTGCTCAGCTTTGAACCCTGAGTGCCCACAGATGAAACAGAAACACAACTGTTGACTGTCATGGGTGCAACCCACTGCTTTCTGTTTAAACTTAAGGCCTTCCCACAAGAGGGAACTCACATCTAGTTCCCGAAGTCAGGATAAAAGACAGAAGCTGGGAGATCATAGTACCTAGGAGAAAGCCACCATTACTGTTCAATGTATGTACCACACCTGACAGGTTAGTTTCTAAACATCAGTGTTACATCCAGAGATCAATGCTGCTATCAGCCTGAACTGACTGTGGAAGGAAACTTGGTTTTGCAGTAGGTGGTTACACTACAGAGACTTACACTGATCAAGCTCTTAAGAATGCTTGGTTGTTGCGGTAGCATAATGGCCCCATAATCAACCATAAAGGGGAGAAAATAATCAAGTATCTGCATCATCCTCTCCAAAACTCAGAGAGCATTGTGGAAGAGGAGGATGGACAGAAAAGGAAGTAGAGCATTGTGTAGCTATTTCCTCTGAAC